GCCTTTCTATCCATCCAGGACACTCAAAGTGCTTTACACTACACACATTCACCCATGCACACACACATTCACCCATGCACACACACATTCACCCATGCACACACACATTCACCCATGCACACACACACATTCACACACTGACGTAAAATGTAACACCTCCAGGGGTGTAACCAGGAAGAGAAATCCACTATAACATTACAAACCAGGGTTCAACAAGGTTTTATTTTTTTACCTGCCCTGTTGGTCGGTGACAACAAACGTTACCTGCCCGAAACAAAAATGTTCATATTTTGGTAAAATAAGAATATTTCTAAAAGCACCTCACAGCGTTTCCACGGTAACACTGTGTTCATGAGCCCAACAAACTTGTGACAGATCACCTGACTGGTTTTAAAGCGAGGGCTGAGAGGCAGTTTGACCACAGCTGCTGCACCTGTCCACCTGCAGCGCAGCTCCGACCAGCCTGGGACTTCAGCGTCCACATGTCAACCCCTTCAGACGGCTACTTGTATAATGAGCATCAAAAATCTGTATTAATCACATGCAGGTGGGGTGGAGGTGGGGCAGTGTCTATTAAAGACGTGTTGAACTGTCAAAATATATTAAGAGATGTTTATTTATTTATTTGTTTCTTTCTTTCATTCATAAAAACAAAACAATATGTACAGCATTAAAAAACAAAGTAAATCATACCCTGAAGTAAAAGGTGCAGAGTGAAGTAAAAAAACTTTTTATCATATTTGTTCCTTATTTTCAAAAATCAACTTCAACAAACAAACAATCTCAAGATGGAAAGTTCTCCAAATTAAAAAAAGGTAAATAAAACAAAATAATAAAAGATAACATTTTATTATTTTATCCTAAATAACTAATCTGTTAAATTTAGTCATAAAACTATTTCAGATAACTAGAATATGTGTGGTGAGGCCAAATACATGATATATCTGCCTGCCATACAATGAGCTTCTGACACTGTCTCATCTTCATCATCTTCATCATCTTCATCATCTTCATCAGAGCAGAAGCTGACATTATAAAGATGGATTTATGACTGAACGAACAAACACATGTTTTTATCATCTCTGTGGGTAATAATACATAAAAAAACATATATTTATCATCTCTGTGGGTAATAATACATAAAAAAACATATATTTATCATCTCTGTGGGTAACAGTACATAAAAAACATGTTTTTATCATCTCTGTGTGTAATAATACATAAAAAACATGTTTTTATCATCTCTGTGTGTAATAATACATAAACATTTTTCCTCTGAAAACACGGTTGTTAAACAAACTACGGTTGTTAAACAAACTACGGTTGTTAAACAAACTACGGTTGTTAAAGCTCCTCTCTGTGAGACCTGCAGCAGGAAGGAGGAGGAAGTGATCATGTGACACAACAACATGTCGTGGAGGGAGGAGGACATTTTGATGATTTATTCTCTCTTTACGTCTTTTAAAACAACATATTTCTTCATTTATTTTCAGATGATTCTGAATAAATGACCTATAAAATATAAAATAAATTGTTTACCTGCCCGGTCAGACAGGCATCAGGACACACCCACCTGCCTGACCATGGGTTGTACCTGCCCCGGGGGCAGTGGGGCAGTAGGATTTGTTGAACCCTGTTATAAACATTATAAATTCATCCTTATATAATTTTAGAAGTACAGTATTTTGCAGTATTCACTCAGATCCAGCCTGGACAGACTGAGCTGCTCTTTCCTGATGTGAGCTGAGGACCTGAAGCTGAAGCTGTGCTGTGTGAACCTGACTGCAGGCAGAAATGAGTTGTGGGTCAAACAGTGGGTCCTCTTATTGTCAGACATGCTGTTTTTGAACAGTGCGTTATTTTCTAGTCTTTTTAAGTTTAAACTCAGTGACACATAGGGATGGGTACCTTTGACATTTGAATCGATTCGGTACCAATATCCGGTACCTGGGAATCAGTACCAGTACTGAACGGTTCCAATTTTCAGTACTTTGTGTGTGTTGTTTTTTTTTTTTTTTTTTTAATGATAAACTTTTATTTTTTTTTACCTATTTCTCAATATATAAATTTAACAAATATCAGCTGTGTCCAAAATGACAGGTCAGGTCCTTGGTAGACCAGGAAGACTGAAAAAAAGAGTCTGTGAATTTGGACGGTCTAGCCTCCCCTCCACCCCGGCGTACGTCATGTCACCTAGCAACTGTGATGACGCTAAAATAGATCAAACTTAGAAAAATATCTATATACAGTATTAGTATTTTTATCATAAAACAATACAATTAACTTAAAAGTATCATTTGAAGAACTAATTGACCCGCTGTAGGTTCGTGTTTATTTCACGTTTTTTATGACAAAAATAATATTTAAAAACACGTCTATACAAATGATAAAAGTATTAGAATTACAACAGCTTGAAAATGTTAATTTTTTTTACCGCCATATTTTTATTTAAAATGTATTCTTTTCTCTCGCTTCGTCCACCATTACTAGCTTAAAAAAATCTCCACTACGTTCAGACCAAGCTCTGTTTACTGAACCAGCGGCTGCTGACATCATTACGCTCTTGAAAAACTCACCTCACTCACTGAAACATGGTACTGTTTGATGGTACATACAATGGTACTGAAACATGGTACTGTTTGATGGTACATACAATGGTACTGAAACATGGTACTGTTTGATGGTACATACAATGGTA